GGTCCAGGTGTGCTTCCTATTGTCCATGTGTAGTTCATATGGTCCAGATGTAGTTCCTATGGTCCAGATGTAGTTCCTATAGTCCAGGTATGGTTTATATGGGCCAAGTGTGCTTCCTATTGTCCATGTGTAGTTTTGATGTTCCAGGTGTTGTTCCTGTAGTCCAGGTATAGTTTGTGTGGTCCAGGTGTGGTTTCTATGGTCCATATGTGGTGCCTATGGTCCACATGTGCTTCCTATTGTCCATGTGTAGTTCATATGGTCCAGGTGTGGTTCCTGTAGTCCAGGTATATTTTATGTGTGGTCCAGGTGTAGTTTATGTGGTCCAGGTGTGGTTCCTATGGTCCTGGTGTGCTTCCTATTGTCCATGTGTAGTTTTTATGGTCCAGATCTGGTTCCTATGGTCCAGTTGTGCTTCCTATTGTCCGTGTGTATTTTCTATGGTCCAGGTGTGATTCCTATTGTCCATATGTAGTTTATATGGTCCAGGTGTGGTTCCTGTAGTCCAGGTATATTTTATGTGTGGTCCAGGTGTAGTTTATGTGGTCCAGGTGTGGTTTCTATGGTCCAGATATGGTTCCTATGGTCCTGGTGTGCTTCCTATTGTCCATGTGTAGTTTTTATGGTCCAGATGTGGTTCCTATGGACCAGTTGTGGTTCCTATATTCCTGGTGTGCTTCTTATTGCCCATGTGTTATTTCTATGGTTCAGGTGTGATTCATGTAGTCCAGGTGTAGTTTTTGTCGTCCAGGTGTAGTCTCTGTGGTTCAGGTGTGGTTTATATGGTCCAGATGTGGATCCTATGGGGACAAAACTGAAAGAGACACATTAATTATATAAATAATTTCCAAACACAAACATTAAAAGTCGAGCCGGTAAAGGCAGCAGCAGAGAAAGATGTGGTCGGTTTGTCCTCCTGCTGTGGAAGTCTAGTAGCAGAACTAAGGGATAGCTCAGGAAACCCAAACTGACCCTAACTATGGGATTTATCAAAGAGGAAAGTCTTTATCCTAGTCCTAAAAGTGGACAGAGTGTCAGGCTCACGGACAGAAACTGGAAGTTGGTTCCACAAGAGAGGAGCCCGAGAACTGAAAGATCTTCCTCCCATCCTGCTTTTTGAAACTCTAGGAACCACAAGTAAACCTGCAGTCTGAGAGCGAAGTGCCTTGTTTGAAACATTTGGCTTAATGTAAGGTGGAGTTTGTTGTTGAGAGCTTTGTAAGATTTTAAATTCTAATCTTGACTTGAAGCTAAAACTGGAGAAATATGATCTCCAGCTCTCATCAGAACTCCAGCTGCAGCGTTCTGAATCAGCTGAAGACTTTTAACAACAAAGTTTATAAAATAGTGTTTGCATGAACTGTTACAAATTTTGCTAAAATTGGAGTCGACTTAAATCAGTGATCCACTTTCAAAGATCAGAACTGTTCCTTTAATGTTTCCGTTGAGTCATTAATCATTTTTAATCTTTATGCTACATTTTGTGATTCTCAGCCGTCCACATGACTTTTGTTTTGACATGTTTGGATGTTGCCACGATGACCTCAGAATAACTCGAGCTTATTCTGACAGTTCAGCTAAAACTGAAAGCAGAAGTTGGTTTTATTTAAATCTTCCTCCTGACGTCAGACTCAGAGACTCGGCTGCTAACAACACGTTTTAGCTCACCGCGTGATTAGCTGTGGCGTCCATCTTGGATCGGATCGACTCCAAAAGTGAATTGGTTGTAGATGCCTGTTGATCTGACAATAACTAAATAAAGGTGTATGATAAAATAAACTTCTAAATCTGTTTCAGATTTTGGCTAATCTGGTGATGGAGACTCTCCAGCCTGAGCTCAGAGCCCTGATCGGGCCTCGTCTGAAGGGGAAGATGCAGCAGCGGCAGAGGAACTGGATGCAGGTGAGCTCTGCTGACGGAGGACCCGGAGCCAGATGTGTTGGGACCACGCCGGCTCCTAAACCCACCTCTGTCCTGCAGATCTCTGACGCCGTGTACCGGCAGGTGTTGGCTCAGACCTGCAGTCAGTATGAAGCTCTGGTGGAGGCCTGCGAGGCCGAGGAAGCTCCGCTAGACGCCAGACTGAGAACGGACATGGACCAGCTCATCGCGTCGAAGGAACATGTCAGCAGCAAGATCAAAGGTGGGACTGAACCTGATGTGAGAGGCCGTTTAAATGAGCTCAATAAACCTTTTTAAAACGGCTCCTCCGTGACCTCCTGACGGCCTCTTCTGTCACGAACACGACGCTCAAGTTCAGATATTCAGCTTCAACACGGCTCGTCCTCCACCACCAGACGTGCCCGGTTTCATGAATCGCCTCTCTGTTTCCGTTTTGTATTTCCATCCTCTGTGAGTCGAGCGCGGTGGTTCAGCGGTCTGAACCTGGGCGCTTTCTGCTCCCGCTCTGCTGAAGTGGAAGAGCTGCATTCCTGCGGCGTATTGTTACAGCTAGGAACCACATTTCCCTCGTTCAAAACAATGTTTTTAATGTGACGTCAGAGAAATTCAGCGGCTTAAAAGGTGCAAATGTGGCCAAGTTGATTTAGTTCGTGGATTCCTTTGAGCGTTTAATAAAACTTTGGACGTCATCATCACCACAGATGAACCTCTCAGCCTGGAGATGAATAAAATGACGCACATCGTGACGAGTTTATTGAAAATAAAAAACAACGGAAGGATTTTTTTTTTCTGTTTTGCAGCTCTAGTGTCGCCCAAATCCGACCAGCTCCTCCGGACGAGCATCCAGCCCTACATCAGCTCCATCCTGGACGCCCTGATGGAGCCGACCAGCCGAGGCTTCTCCGAGGTCAGGGACGTCTTCTTCAAGGAGCTGGTGGAGATCAGCAAGAACTCCCTGAACGGAGGGGGCAAAGAAAAACTGGGAGACGTGAGTTGAGTTGGCCCTCTGAGTACCTGAGGAGGAGCGGCAGGGAGCTGATTTTCCTCCAATGTGCCCTCTTGTTCTTCAGCAACTAGATCGTCTGTCCATGCTGGCCTTCCACCCGGTGAAGATGCAGAGCTGCTACGAGCAGATGGAGCAGCTGAACCTGGAGGGGCTGCAGCAGAGGTTTGATGTTTCCAGCCCGTCGGTGTTCATCAGCAGAGCTCAGATCCTCATGAGGCAGGTGAGGGTTGTCCCTACCTGATGAAGAACCTCTACTCCCACCTGCTGGACAGAAGCAGCATTACTCCGTGTATGAGCTTCCAATAGTGTGAATGCGTGTGAACATTCACACTATTGTGATCCTGTTTACAGTTATTATTCTTCCCTGTTCTGTCCCTATTGCATATGTTTTTCAGCATCTTTGTCGTTCCACCGTTTTCAGCTATTTCCACAAATCATGAATCAAAAAGTTCGGCTCTTTCAGGACAATCCTGCTGTGACTTGGTATTGGTGCAACTTTAGCTTTTTGAAAAATTTAGCCTTTTCTGCCACTTTTTTTCTAAATAAAAATGAATTGAGCTCATTTTACATCCTTCATAACTTTAGATGTGTTTACAACCTTTTACTGCTCCTTTCACATTTTGTTCTGCTTCAGCTTCTTTCAGCTTCCTGCTGCTAATTTAAACATTTTTTTAGCTATTTTCAACTAATTTTAGCCGATTTTTCATCTGTTTTGTGCTCCTTTCAGGATCTTTCTGCTAACTAACATTTTTGTGCTTCTGCTAACTTCGTTCTGCTCCTTTCAGCTTATAAGTTTCAGCTTTTTGTACTATTTCATCTACTATTTAGCTGTTTTTATGCTAATTTAAGCTTTTTCATTTTTTTTGCTCTCATTTCAACTTTTTCAGCCTAATTCAGCAAAAATGTGCTCTCTCCACTTGTAATTTAAACTTCTTTCTGCCTTTTTAGCTACTTTTCAACTATTTTTTGCTCATTTCATTTATTTTTCAGATAATTTCCACTTTTTAGTGCTCATTTCTGCTTCTTTCAGCCTACATGAGCAAATGTGTTTTTTCTGATTTCTTCTGATACTTATAATAATAAAGTGTGATCTTCTTTTTCAGCTAACTTGTTAGCATTTTTTTATTTAATTTTAGATGTTTTTAAAAAAAAAGTAATTTATTTATTATGATTTATTTATTTATGCTACTTTTAGACTAATTAACTCCTTTCTTCTAATTTCAATTTGTTCTTTTCAGCTCTTTAGCTGTTTTTATGCTAAATTTAGCTTTTTCAGCTAATTCCACATTTTTTTAGCTCATGTCAACTCCTTCCACTTCCACATTTTAAGCTTCTTTATGCCTTTTCAGCTATTTTTTTGTCAATTTCAGCTTTTTTCACTTATTTCCTAATTTCTGTGCTTAAACCAAATTCAGCAAATATGTGTTCATTCTGCATCTGCTAATTAAGGCTTGTTCTTCCATTTCAGCTACATTTCAGCTGTTTTTCAGCAAGTTCTTCAGCAATAAGCATTCACTACATTTTCACAGGAATGTGATTTCTCTAGTCTGTTTCTCGTGCTACTTTATTATTCTTTGTTTTGGCAGCAAATGGACAACGCCGTGTACACGTTTGAGCAGCTGCTCCAACAGTCTTTAGAGTCTCAGGGCGACGAGGACGTCTGCAAAACCATCCAGAGGTGCCAGGACCGGGTTCTCAAGGTACAAACACAACAACGGACAGCTTTTTATTTAAAAGAACTCAAAAGATTTATTTCGCAGCAGAAACAGAATTAAAGGTCCTCGATGCAAACTACAAAACAAAACGTAAAATCTGTTTCCTGACCCGTTTTAAACAGCGCAGTTTGAAAGAGTTCACTCCGGTAGTTTCCCAGCTTTATGGATCTCTTTCTACCTCCATATTTATTAAAAATGTCTAACTTCATCCCAAACATCTCCTCCACCCATCGTTACCTGTTTTCAGTCACTTCGGTTGTTTCTGTAGGCGAACACCCGGTACATGGCAGCCGGTGCCTTCACGAGCACCTTGAACTCTGATGTGAGTTGTTGCTTTAAACGTTGGAGGTGACGTCCTGTCTGTGTCCCCCGTCAGAAATATGATTACGACAGCAGCACGGTGCGTAAGAAGTTCTTCAGAGAGGCTTTGCTGCAGATAATCATCCCCTACATGCTGCAGCAGCTCGCCCCGTCCTGTACGCCTGTGAGTAACACAGCACAGTACTTGTACTCTATGTAGGTTCATGTTTGTGTTTATGTACACAAGTTTTGTGTGTTTGTTGCCTGAAGGCAGAGCGACGATGTCTGTGAGTGTTTGTGTGTCCACTTCTGTGTTTATACACTCACTGGAGACTTTGTGGTCCATTAGGGAGCTGGAAGAACTGGTTGGTCCCGTCATAATTAGTTTTAAATTATTCTGGACTTTTTTTTTATTTTTTATTTGAGCCGTGTTGAAGAAAAAACATATTTCAAACAGACACTGAGCTGTTTGTCTCTCTGTCTGTCTATCTGTGTCTCTCTGTGCGTCTCTCTCTCTCTGTCTGTTTATCGGTGTCTCTCTGTCTGTCTCTCTCTCGCTGTCTGTCTCTTTGTCTCTCTCTCTGTCTGTCTCTCTGTGTTTGTCTGTCTGTCTGGTAGAAACAACACCATCAAACTAATTGTCAACCTGCTGGTGTTTTATTGTCCTGCCTCCTAGAGTTCCGTCTCTCCATCACTTCCTTATAAACTACATGTTTATTCAATAAGTAGTTTGTTTATAAATGGCGGCCATGTTGATTTGTCGGCTGCCTTTTTAGTTCTTAGTGGAGCTTCATCCGGCCTCAGATTCAGCTCTCTGATAGAATCTTCTTGTGTTTCTGTGTTCTGGGAAGCCAGATTTGTATTTTTCACTTTATTAATAAAAGTTGAATGAATTTACTCAGGAGCTGCCTCGCTTCAAAGAGCTGATCTTTGAGGACCTGTCCCGATTCCTCCTGGTGGAAAATATGTATGAGGAGGTGGTCCTGCAGTCAGTCACCAAGGACATAATGATGGGTGAGGGCACAAACACCACATTTACCAGTTTGTTTTCCAACATGTGATGATGGTGGCAACAGTTAAAGGTAATCTTCACCGTGAAAATTACCTCCTGCTGTATACCAAATCAAGTAATATGTAGGACTTTACACCAGTACTTTATGAAACACTACATAAACACCAAAACTGAAGAGTGTGTGGAAAAACACAATATAGTATGATGTACGAATGATTTTTTTCATCAGTTTGGAAGTCATAGTATAATATGTGTCATTTATCATCATTTTAGAAGTCATACTATAGTATGTCATTTATCACCATTTTGGAAGTCATACTATAGTATGTGTCATTTATCATCAGTTTAGAAGTCATACTATAGTATGTGTCATTTATCATCATTTTGGAAGTCATACTATAGTATGTGTCATTTATCATCATTTTAGAAGTCAT